TAATGTGGACGTGCTCTTCTCTTTCCTATCGCGATTAGAACCAATTTGCGAGAAGCGACCAATTCTCCAAAGTCATGCTCCTGAATTAATTCTCTTCGGATGCTAATGGGTTGAAGAAAGAGTAAAAAAAGCTCCAACCCTTCCACGAAAAACGAGAAAGGCACCATTACTAACAAGTAGTCAGGCAAATCGAGTAACCCTCGCCAGAAAATGTCATCAGATCGACTGGAGCAAAGCTAACAATCCGATGCTGGCTAGCTATCTAATTATTATGTTGCGTGATGAGAACCATTTAATCGCGATGGTCCGTATGGCAATGAGCTTTACTGTTTTAAAAATATCCTTGCAACTGATCTTCTTCATGTGGTTTCTATCTCTATGTGAGATATCTAGTCTGTTGGTGACGAGGGCGCTACTTTAGCCAGCGGATAGGGGAGTAAATCGCGTTCGAAAACCACCGGCATTTGCCCAGAGACCCAGGTGGAAATGAGAAATGAAATCCCCGTCATTGTTGTGCAGGCCGAATTATACCTTCTGTCCTCTTGCGGGTGGTTGCAGGTGTATCCATGAATACGTAAGCTGGAAGACTGGGAAGCAATGTGGGAGGCGATAACTACCAGTACATTCACAATAACCATCGCAGCTTGCCGATGACAAGAGGAGGGCGGTTTATCCTCTATGCCTTGAAGGAAGAGTTACTGCATCTAAAAAAGTAATTGTCCACAGGTTTAGTAAGAAGAGCCCTCTTCCCCAGATATATTCAAAACCTTGGCTTGGTCTTCACGCGGTACCTGTTCTGAAAAATCGTCTGTCATTCCTGATATATCCTCCCTTCCGGAATTCGACATACATGACTATGAGGAATTTTACGGAGCCCGGTCCTGATAGGATCAAACCAAAACATCTAAAGAGTTTGTCAGCAAGCGTCGCCAGAATTCTGATTGCAACAGAAGTAGGGAAACCAAGATGATATCGGTATTCACCGCTCGAAAGCAAAGAATTGGACCCGTGCCCATCTTCCCGGATTTTCGAAGTGTCTACCCACATTTGCTCCGTACTTATTTACTCTCGGAGACTTGAACTCTACGAAACTAGGATGAGCATAATCAAGGGCGGGTTACTTATGAAAAGAAATCGAAGATCAGGTGAGCCGAACACGCCCTGAGATTCTCTGATGGTTGATGAACAAGGGCGTACCTCGAAATGTCAAACAAACACTAGAACGACAGCTAGTGCGACGACCAGACTTTTCACGATTTGTTACCGGGAGGAATGGTTCGCCTTGTATCACTCAAGTGCAAGGGGACTACTGGACTACATTTGCTCGCTGCAGGGACGAAGTTAGACGTTTCTAGCTTTCGCCCAAGCAAATCGATGACCAACGGGGCGTCAAGTGATTTTATGGAAGTTTTACACGCAATTCTTATGGGCAACTATAATTATGCGACGCGGTGTACATAAAAAGTGAGCGAAAAAAGGAACCCGCACAGATGAGACAGACCAGATGAGACCAGTTTGCGAACAACCTACTAGCCTAGGGAATCATGATTCCAGCGTAGAAATAGGTGTATAGCTAACTATTCGACGATTCCTTCCCAAAGGCTCAGTTATAAGAATTTTGAGGAGCATAAATCATGGGAAGTCTTGATACATGGATCTCCATCTTTACATTTTTTAGGTATAATGTGTGGCGTGGCATTTACACCGCTAATTACTCTGATGGTGAACAAAATCAGCTAAGCAACGCGTGGATACGATGATGCTATCTTTTCATATTCGGTATTCTTGAAACCTGGGCATGTCACATGTTTCACAATGCTTTACCGTACAGTTTTGTAATGATGGAACCGTTTATGGTCGACGTTTCGGACAACTCGTCTTCAAGGAACTGGAAATTGTTTGGAGCTCCTGATCTGCGGCTTATACGAGAAGCGCCCAAACATGCTAGGCTATTTGCAACAACTCCAGGAAAACTCGAACACCAGAAGATCTCAGCCAAGAAATCAACCTCATTTGGTTCCATCAATGTTGCCGTCCCACACAATCCTGTGAGCAATAAAGGACTAATAAGACAACATCGATTGTCGTGAGATAAAAACCAAGTGATTTCAAAGCGAACAGAGAGAAATGAATTAATAACAGTTGTCCACCTCTTATGGCAACGCGCCTATTCCGCTTTCTTCTCAGGATTTCTGTCGGGTATGTCCAACGCTTCCAACAGCTTTCTAGCACCGATCTCTCTCTCGTAGTCACGGATTTTGCGTTCGATACCAAAATCATTGCACTGCTGTTCTTCTACTCGATGCCTATTAGGTCTCGTGTATTGGCTTCCACGCCTTTTACATCGTGGATTTTCTTGGATGCATATGCTCGGCATTCTTACCGTCTCACCATTATATATATCGTCACCGACTGAACATTGAAGTTGGTACAAGTCCCTCGCTGTGTGCTATCTCCATCTCTTGCGAACGGACTAATAACGCAAGCATCCGCGAGTACGCACAATCGTAAAACCTATTGCGGATCAGATGACGCTTGTTATTTTCCGCTGATGAGGCTATCGAGACAATATCACTCGTCAAATCTGCTCGTGCATTGCATTTTCGGCTTTTTGCGCCGATTGTCTGACTTAAATGGAACATATTTTCACGATTTTTCGGCGAATAGTCTTGTAAACCTGACTTTCCGTGTTGTGCCCGTAGACACTGAAGATTGCAATCTCGGCTGCTGAGTCACATGACTCCGTTCCACTCCTCCTCTACACACCCCTATTGTTCTGTTCAAGTTGCAAATTACTGTGAGTTTCACAGCTTCATGGTGAGCGGACCTTGCGTGGAGTAAGATGTTTTTCGAGCTGTTTTCCCGCTACCCTTTACACTGCACTTTCTACATGAGATTTACACAGAGATTTGTAATTACGCAGCAGTTATCGGTATACCAACAGTACAGAATGGACATGCGCGACAGCACTGGTCTTTCTACTGCACATAAAACAGATAGCTAAGACCGGTGCTAGCCGCTGACCCATTGCAGGTCATCGATTTTGCGAGAAGTACTGCGGGCTCCACTCAAAAATATTACACTTGATGCATATCCTGATGTTGTTGTTTACGTTCGTATAAAACACAGCTACATCAAACCTCTACTACTTAGTTTTCTTGAAGCGTATATGAAAGCACGCGATCAAGAAATTCTTTGATGTTTGGTAGATGAGAGGATAAGTATCGTAGCAGTTGACTATGTTCCGTTGGCCCTTCCACACAGACAAGGAATAGTAGTTTATATCAGTCAAAGTCGGCGCACATGTCGACAACGCAATGCTCGAGCAAGTTTTTTGAATTATGTTGTCTTGATAAACCTACCGGCCGACAATATCTAGCGTCATTTAACCCGCAAAATGCTTTATGATGGACGGATAATTGCGTTATTTGTTCGTTAGGAAGACATGGAGATAAGACACAGAGAAAGACGGTGTGCCAACTTCAGTGTTCAGCCCGTGACGAGATGTATATCGGTAAGACGGAAAGGATGCTGGGCATACGCGTCAAAGAACATCTAGCAGATAACGGCGTGAAGCCCAAATACGTCACTTGATAGGCACCGAGTAGAAGAACATTAGGGCGATGATTTTGATATCAAATGCGAAAATCTAGTCTACGAGAATAGGATCGCTATTAGAAAGATATTGGAAGCGTTACACATACACAAGAGAAATCCTAAGCTGGTTAACCGAGTAAGTGTCTCACCATAACAGGTGAGCTTCTGCTATGAATTCCTTTTTGTGAGCTTTGAGATCGCGTAATTCTTATCCCACTACAGTCGAGGGTGTCTCATTGAACCCTTGTTGTTAACAGAATCGAGTGGGACGGCAACGCTTCCGGAACAAGAGAAGGTTAGTTTCTTGGTAGGTATCTTTTGGTCGGCCAGGTAAGCCACAGATCAGAGGCTCTGAACAACTTCCAGTTCCTTGAAGATGAGTTGGTCAAAACGTCCACTTGATAAAAGGTTCCGCCATACCAAAGCTGTACGGCAAAGCATTGGAAACATTATGTGACATGCCCAGGTTCCGAGAATACCGAACGTGAAAATTACTATATTTTCATTTGCAAAAAATAAATATATTTATTTATGTCCGAAATAAAACGCAGCACACACTGATAAAATTGCCAAAATTGGTATATGATCATCCACACTGTCATCTTTGGAGAAGGTGTCAAAGCCAATGGATGATGAGGAGAACCTTAACTTTCAGCTAATAATCAAGAATGGATGGGCCAAGAAATTAGCTCCAAAATCGACTTGATATAGGCTAGAGATGTTCTATCCAAATAATTCAATGAAGTGCAAGATTTTTGCCATTTTTTTGCTCACACCTCCAATCTCTGCTAAATGCCACTTCTGTACAAAAAACCTCACGATTCACGAAATCTTTGCTCCATCTACCAAGGAAACTTTCAAGAACACAGACGTAGAAACTACCAAATTCAGCTTGTGAATTAATTCACGTAACATTGATGAACTCTTTACATATAAAAGCTATATTCTATAAAAGCTCACACAACGAGCTACTGCCTATGAAATACAACACTTAACAAATAGTTATATGGGAGGTGGAATGTGAGCGCAAACTATCTTCAACGCGTCCCATTTCTATGAGAAGTGCTTGTGTAATAAAAATCTGATCGGGAACTCTACTGAATAAAAGCTTCTTCTGACTTCTGCCCCTCAAAGACATCACAAAACTCGACTGACTTCCACGAGAGAAAGAGAGGGAGAGAGATGCAACATTGGCATGCAGTTAATCTATTGCTATTAAAAACTATAAGCTACAGATGGATTTGTTCGTTCATTATGTGTACTTCGCAATAAGTAAATAACTCCATCAAAAGATCAATGCTAATAATGCACAATTATTGCTTAACACAACGAAGGACGACGGGTGCGGGTATCGAAAAAAATCCGTAACGGTAGGCACGTATCACCTCCGATATCGGACCTAGTTATTCCATGTCCTCGTCCTCCAATTGTACCTTCATCGCTTTTAACGCCGCACCTTCGTTGTAGTGCATCTTTCTCTTCTTCTCGAACTCTCGTTTGTGGGCTTAAAAATAGTAAGGATAATGAATCTTATATTGAAAAGAACCCACTAGGAACCCGCAATATGTATAAATTTATGCAAGCCACAGGGTTGAGTGAGAATATAAAGCAATGAACGGAATAAATCTACGAAAATGAATATTACAATAAATTATGAAGAAGTAAGGTGTGACTTCAGGACTTGAGTTCTGTTTAAGTTTCCCTGCCAATATGTCGGAAAATTAATCTCATTCACGGAATGATTTCATAGTGATAGAGTAAAGAGGGATTTCGATTCAGCTGAACCGATATCGAGAAGTGTTTACTGTAATATAATCATAAGATGGCTCTAAAGTGATTTCAGGTATCACAAGGTTGGCGATTTGTGGACAAAACTTCAGCCTCGGACGGGACTTGAACCCGTACTTGTCCTTTCCGGGGACCGTGCTCTTATCCCTTACACTACCGAGGCCCCGCTTGCCCTCGCCTTCTTGATGGCTTATATGCCATATCTTATCAGCACTCACACGTACAACGTGTTGAGCCGGTCGGCCAATATCAGCACAGAACCGTTAAGCTGTAAGCTTTACATGTTAGTACTTGTTTTGACTTGATGTTTTGTTAACTGCTGTTAATTCGCCGCAGTACGCGATCCGAAAGTCTCACAAGGTTGGCGATTTGATTTCAGGTAAGTCTCTCAGTGCGGAGAATCATTACACCTTCTCATCAATGTTGGAGAACTAAATGCATTTTGAAGCGAGATACAATGAGTGCATGCGCCTTTTAGAAATAGAAGTAAATCAATAAATGAAGCAAATCGTACTTCTACTACTGTTCCGTCAGAAGGGGCCATCAACTGGCTGAAAGCAGAACACCGCAATTTGATGACGCCACATTAAAGGTGTGCTTAGAAGAGTGCAAATCTGAGAGAAGAGTTGGCCTAATGCCGCCTTCTAAAGTATGAGGGCGAAACAGCCAGCATTACAGACAATAGCCCTCTGGGAACCCATTGCCTTGAAAGCGCAGATCTACATAGATGAGTAACGACTATCTCTACAAAAGAGCACATTGATAGTAAAAACAGCGACTCAAAACGAAACTGGTACGACGCGAACTTCCAAGAAAGGAAAACGGTAGAAATTCGTATAACCGGGAAATCATTACAATTTCAAAAAAGAAGGCACCAACCGATCTGTTCCGGGGTAAGATGAGTCTCGTCATCATCTGTGTCTGAACCAGACCCAAATGATTTTATTGACCCACTGCCCACGTTATGGTGAAGACCTTCTGCCACCTGAACTTCAACTTATTATCAAACATGCATAAAGATCCACGAGAGAGGACCGCTTACCTCTTCTGGGTCTACAGCTCCTCCAAGTGACACTCGACGAGGTCGGCTTGCTTGACCAGAAGATGCCTGGAAACAGGTTCCTAACAAAAAAAAAATAGAAACAAACTCCCTGAGCGTCGAGTAACATCATTGTTACTTACCTCGTCACCTTCTGATTCGCAATCTGAATAATTATATGGAGTTTTCGGCTCGTCGATCTGCAATACGTAAAGCGCTACAAGCAGATCATCACACCCTAGATTAAGACCTTCATTGAACAAAAATTTTAAGATTTCTAACGCTTAACAATCCCGTCCTAGCAAGAGATATCACTCGACTTCCATTAAGTTTTATCGTGCAAATTAATCAGCACCTACTAATACAGAATACTTGATTAGCTTGGGTACCAATTGGCTACTTTCAGAGTTCGACGACCGTCCGTCCGTCCTTTCAGCGCGTGCTGCGACGGCGGTCGCTAGAGTAGTGTTGACGGCGTTGGCAAGTGATTCAGTGTGTCGACCACGGTCAGGCGCCGCCGTCGCGGCACGCGCTGAACGGACGGACGGATGAATCGTTGAGGTCTGAAAGCAGCTATTCAGGACTTGATCCTAAGAAAATGTTTATTGTGGCAACACCATTTTGCATTACACCACCTTTGCCCAAAAAGTTTCACATGACGATTGGTATGATTACACCATTAATTGTAAAAACTGATTATGTCGCTGGTAACAATTTAACTAGAGTCTAAATTCTGACCTTCATACTTCCATAATCTTTATCTGTGGGATGATATGTGGCCAAAATATTCATTTCGTCAAAATGCGCTCGACCTTCCTTGCCATCCAGCGACAGGTCCTGAATATAATATATCGTTTATGCAAAAATTTTCTCCTTAGAGAATCACTCATGGAGTACATATGCATCCCCTTCGGTTGTAAAAATCTAAAAAACACCCGCAACAGATTCCATGGCACCGCTGATTTGCCCAATTTGCCAGCAACATTATATCCTACTTTTGCCACACTTCATTACTATATTATTTGAATTAGGCTGTCACCTAATGATCGAGTTGGTTGTGGCTAGGTAAATTTTTACATATTTGACATAATTAACGCAGAGCTTGCCTGTTTCATCTTCAGTATACTTTTCTTCGGTTGACGTTTCAAGAACTCCGTCGGATCATCGACTCGAATCTTCCCGTCGGGAGTCATGTGTTCATCAACATTTGCACTTGGAAAATCAGTCATCACGGAACAGTGCGAAAATCCAAAAATCTAAACATATATATCCACTTGAAAATGTTGATAAAACAGTAAACGGCATCTGCGAAACAAAATTTACGAGGGAACCCACATTATCACAGAAAGAACGGCGTGAAACTGTAACATGAGTACAGGAAGGAAAGAGAACATGTTTCAATTGAAAAATTGGTTACTTCGCGATGGGCGCGCTTTGTCCAACGAAGTTTCCAATCAAACAGCCAGATGAACGGACAATTCTCAAGCTGCTTGCTTGGAGCTGCTGATTGATTGGTTGGAGAAGGTAGTTCCTCGAATTTTCGGCTTTACCTTTGCCCACTACTCGTGCAATTTTAAATGGAAAGTGCATACACAAACCAAGTGAAAGCCCGGAATTGAGGAAATCGGTTCCAGACAAAAAAACTCCACTTAAAGACACAAGTTTGATCACAATATGAATTCAGGGAAAATATAAGTTATTGAGTGAAGATGATGAGAATGAAAAGGGAACATAAACGAAGAGATTTGAAAGAAAGGAAGGCATGAAATAATATTTATCGTTTTCCCCTTATGTTGACAAGTGAGTTAAGAGAATGTGGAGAAGAATCGCAACCTAACATCAAAGCTTGGTTCATGGCACGTACGTGGCACGTTGGCACGTGAGAAACTGGAAATTGAATGAAAGTCACAGTGCCTAATGAAACATGTGAAAAATTTCAGCGAGGAAACCTTCAGATAATGCCGCTCCCCTAATGCGCCCCAATGCGGATTGTGTGTACGACGGTGAAAGCATTTATGAACGCGACAAAATGTACATGCCCGTCCGTGGCAATTTGCCAACTATTGCAAGGAT